TCAAGGAGACAACTAGAACCTTGTTGATCTCTATTTTCAACCTAGTGCGGGGTTGAGCGCATTGTTGAGTGTTTAGAACAAAGGAAAATGTTTGTCAGCATTATGCCGGGTATTTTTTTTAAATAAAGCTGGCACAGTGAACTTCCAAACCACTTAGAAGTGTGAGCTGGCATAGCTGGGCTGTTCAGGCGAACTACCGTATGCTTAGCTGGAGAACGGATTTGTCATCGCTTACTAGAATTAATAGCAGTCCAAAAGATCGTTGTTGTATGTAAGTAATTTTACAGGAATCGGTGCGGTGGGGCGGGGTGGGGCGGGCAATCGTTCCTGAACGTGTGCACGATCATTTTGATACCTCTCGATAATTATACTGACCTGAAAGGCAGGCTTGAGATTACAAATTCTACTCGTCCAACTATTTACTTATTTTCTACTATATTAAAGAAACATATATACTACGAATTCCACCTTTTTTCTTATGGAACTCAACAGAGTTCCATAAGAAAAAAGTGAAGCTAATGATACATATGGACACTTTTATTTAAGGTTCAACCTCTACAGCTGCCATGGTAGACATAATCAATGTCATCCCTTGCTAAATCAAGTGAGAGTATCACCTAGGAAACTTTTTGAATTGTTTCGTATGTAACACCAGTGTCCGACAAAATATGACCACCATTGCCTTGTCCTGAGAAGGCCGATGGGAAATCGTTGTAGGTTAGTGTGCAGACGATTAGCCCCAGCTGACATTACGCTAGTTTATACGGTTAGAAAGCGGCCAAGCGTAAAATTAAACATTTCCAGCGTTCTTTTTTTTTCAATCCTCTATTGAATTCTTCGACTACTTCCCACGTTTTAGCTCCACAGCTCAATTCGATAAATAGCACCATATATTACTCTGACCCTGATCTAATGCCTAAATGTTTTAGATGGTAGTCAGCCGAAAATCAACAAAAACGAAAGTAAGTACGGAAACTTCGATTATTGTCTAGGCAATGTGGGCTTAGTGTATGCGAAAGAAGTTCGGAAAACACTTTCTCTTCGGAAAGATTTACGTGTTCAGACTAAAAAAAAGTAGATAGTAATAAACATAAACCCTTTTGAAAAGTATATGATACTTTGTGGAGCAATAACGCTATCTCGTCTAACAACAATTGTTACACAAACACGGCCAAATGCTGCTCTCTGAACTAAGCTTAGATAAAGCTATTATAAGGTCTTTCCATTTATTTTTAAAAAAAGATCCTTCAAATTCAATCAAATCACAAAAAAAAAACGTCATTTAAACGAGTTCGAATTAGGAAGTGACCAGCTTTGAATTTATAAAAAAAGAAAAAGAAAGTGTTGTCTGCTTTGCGTTTGTTGTGCCTAGACATGTCTTTCAAGAACGCTGGAGGCCTGTCGAAGAATGGTTTCACAGAGCTTGTAATTGCTCTGAAATGACGTTGTCGTTTTACTTCCAGTGTCGGACTTTTGAAAAGTCCGACTCTTGAAGAGTCAGATATTTTCATTTTAACGATTATCTCGTTCGGAAATGTACGGATTTCTACATTCTGACCAAATGTTACATATAACATTTTGCGAAGCTCTCTTTTAGTTTATCTATACAGGGCATATAAGACTACATCTTGCTACGTCTCCTGGACAGCGTTTCTAATTGATGTCCTACAGCAGCAAAAACAATACATCTGACTTCATGTTCCCCTATCCCCAGTAATCGATCACAAAGAGAACATATTTCATAACCTCTGCATAAGCGTGTATCAGCAATCGATATATTCGTCCGGTTATAACGCCAAATTTGAGCAATTTATAGTAAAATTAGGAGATTTAAGCTTTGAATAGGCTAAAATAAACTAACTTACTTGGACAGATAGTAAGTTTAGCTGAAAATAGCGTATGCACTATAGCTTCCAAGTATGTAATGAACGGTAGCCATGCGATCGAAACGGCTATAATAGATAGCTATACAGTGTATATCTATATATTTTAGACCCGGCCAGTTCACCGGTATTTTACAGTTGTAGGTTGTATTTAATACAAGCAAAATTCCCCCGGGACCCTGGTTAACAACTACGAATGAAACAGTCAGCGCGGCGAGCAACGCAAAAAATTCCAAACAAAGCATATATTGAGACAGAAAATTGTATTCGAACTAGAAGGATTATTGTGCGTAGCGTATTGGATGCCGTAGACGGCATGGAACTTACATGCAGAACAAGATTAAAAGTTATCATCGAAGCATAGTATTATGGTCTAGCAAGATACCTTGAGCGTGAAGGTTAAATGAATAATAATTTGTGACTTAGCAGAAATCTGTGTGCGTAGGAAAACAGTAATGACAATGTAAGTCTAATATAAATTACAGAAAAATGTTATATATTTTCTTGAGATTGCGCTCAAAGCTCGCCACAAATTTTGTCGGCAGAAATCCTCGTTGTCAAAGCGTTACGAGATACTCACTCCAGCTCTCCTCATGTACAGGTTCTCTAACTTATAATGACCTCTATATATATAACCTTCCTGCAATATTTCGCTATCATTCTCTGTTAATAGATATCAACATGGTAAGTTGTTACTATTGTGAGATGATTCAGTAGAGTTATTTCCATAGACGAAATTATGTGGTCGTACACGTTGTTACCATAAATGCGACAAATATATAATATGCCATAATATGATATAATTATGCAATAATAAGGCTGCTCGGTCATTGGGTCAATAGAGATATGTAGCTAAAAACAAGTGCTATAAATAGAAAATATTATACACATGTTGACCGCTTGCTTCTATAAGGTAAAACGCAAGAAAGTAAGGCTGTAAGTTGCGCCAACTTGTACCACACTCCAAGCGAAACCACAACTACCTTTGACAGACGTATTTAAGTAAATTTCATTTAAGCTGGATAGTACGAGGAGCCACAAAATCCCTTCTAAATCTAAATATATACGAGACGTGGCGTTATTTCGTAATTCTAAATCTTGTAACTAATAGGAAGATACATTGGGCTCTGTACCGAGAGTTGTTTGTGTAGTGAAACCGACCTGTATATTTGTATATATACAAGGAAAGTGGCAAAAGTTGACCAGGACGGACATTTATAATATAATAGTCTGGCCTTCCCCAGAGAGAGTGGATAAAATGGTGGATTAAAGGCTTCGCAAACTTCGACGAAACCCCGCTCGCAACGGGGTCATAGACTCGTTTCTGAGCGTGGGATATGGGTAAGAGGACAACCATGCAATGCCTCATGGGAAAATTAGAAAGAAAAAACGAGGTCAGTAGGGGACAAGGAGAAAAAACAACTTCGTCCCTTGATATTGTAGCAGGAGACAGAACGATCTCACGCCTGGTTAACGTGTCTGTTACTGTAGTGACTGTAACTTAGACAGTTAGATCTGACGATTCAAACCAACAGTTTATAGAAAAATTGACGCCCATTTGCCGCCTAGTTAGACATTTGGGTCGTATGTGTCCCCACACAGAAAAATATATACCTAATATAATAGTAATTAGAAGAATAATTAAATGTTAGTAATCATACATGAATGCCTCTTTATATGTGGAGTACCCGAACTGTCATAAAGGAAATTCTAATAGACGATGACTAGAAAAAAGTATCCACTGCATTGTGAATTTCAACGGTTAGAACGGCTAGACACTGGTGCTTTTAACATAACCAAAACGTAATTACACACAAAATTAGTTCCGTCAAACTAGTCCTGTTTCTACAGAAAGGTTCGAGCTAACTCATGCCATTATTTATAGCAGGTATATAGTAGGCCATAATTTACTATAAACATGGTTGTAATCAATACTAAATACAAAACTATAAAATTAGGTATTGTTCAAAGTAAATAAATTAATTGTTATAAAACCAATTTTTTCTCAATATTAAAGAATAATATTCATTCTAATTCACAAAATAAGAATATATGTTTATTTTGTTTTTACAGTTTTTAGTTGAAGTTAATTCTAAGTAAAAAAATTGTATAAATCTATGATAAGCATCACAAATCCATGACCATAAAGTAAACCAGATCGATACCCATATAACATCAATTGATTTAACTGCTCAGGTGCCGCATCCATCTTCAAAGTCAAAGACGAAATTTTTCAACAATAAATACCATCAGCTGGTGAAATTATCTAATACCCATGCCCGCCTCCCCTAATATAAAATAATTAATAATAATAATAATTTTCTACATTGAAATCAATATAGTTATATAAGATCGATACCAATTTAATAATTAGATGAAGTCCAGATGGGCTAATTTCAATAGGTTCACCTACTGTCATAATTGTATCCATTCAACCTAAAAAATAGGTAAACAATAAATTATAAAATAATAAACAAAATAAAATCCCTTATTGTTTAGCACGCAAACATATTACTCGGAATTCACAAATCAGCTTTTACCCATTGCTAACACGATTGTTGATTCGGGTATAATTATAATACCAGTTGCTTCTCTACGGGAAGTTGAAACATAGCCTTCAAGCACTAAACTATATGTTTCAATACATACATAATACAATGTGTAGCACTACAGTGGATGTAATGTTGTAGATGTTTACTTGTGGTATCGATCCTATTTTAAATTGATTTTGTTGCCGGCCCCATACAAATACAGTATCTAACATTTAGAGCTAGTTTACGGCAGAGGATCCAGGATATTTATTCTATATCTTTCGAAAATGATTTTGTCCTTTGTAGTAAACATATTTAACCAGAAGTAGAAGAAGATCGTTTCTTGCTAGAGTAGTTAGACCGATTTACATTTCTGCATGCTTTTTATGCGTCACAAATCTATATCAACTGTGTCTAACGGGCAGCTGTTGCTGACTTGAGCACAACTGACTTACTGTATATATCCTGTTCAGACCGGAACCGTCCTGCATTGTGCGAGAGTTGTCCTAGATCTCTGTGAATATAGTAAGCATATTCAGATAGATATAGTCCAGACACTAAACCCAATAGAATAATTTGATTTTTACATACTTTTACTATCGCCAGCTAGACATGGCGTATCTTTTTACAGTACGCATTAGTTGTGCAAACGGTCAGCTGTGACACAGGGAAACGTAAGTGCAGTAATCCTATAGTGTACATTTATTTTTGGGTCTCGCCCATGGGGGGGCGTTTCGGTAATTCGGCTCACTAAGCCAATTTTCGCTATTATTATTATTATTATTAGGAAAAGCAATTTTTCGATTAAAATATCTTGATAACGGGTTCATTACCGTTGAGATGAATCCGCTGCCAGCAGAAATAAGAAGTGGGCGCAATGATCGAGACTGGGCAGCGAGATGTTTCTATTGTATTATTAAAGCACAACAAACATGCAGGCTCACGCTTCATGCAGCTTGGAAACCCTCTCGAGTATATTCAGTGGAGCGGCCCTGAGGCGAGTGCTCTCAAAAATTCCTTCAGGAAATTACAGAAATGCCAACATACGACGAAACGCATTTGCCGTGCGCTCTGATGGTCTCGGAATTCTGTATTCTGCCGTAGTTTCGTGCTTTATGGTCTAAGAAGGTAGTGCTGTTTCCTCCACTCTTCAGCATTGCATGGATGATTTCGTACCGAAGTCTAATGAGGCCCGAATGTGGACAACTGAAAGAATGAACAACACGTCTTATCGCTCCGCCTCATACTGTCACTTTCATCGTTTATAACTCTATTAAATTCAATCTATTCTCAACATTCTCGCGGACTGTGCATTCTGAATCATGAGATCATAAAATTCGCTTGCTTTTTGAAGACCTGTATAGCGAGTATTAGCGCCTTATAGTATCGCTGTTTCTCGAAACTTGTAGTTACGAAAACCCTTTCGCACAGATTCGGTCGAACTTACCGACCGATGGAGTTATTTATGCGGATGCATCGATATCGGTAAAAATAATACGGTATGATCATATTAACGTCAAAGTCCTTATTCTTCTTCGTTGGTTTTTCATTTGGGTCAGAAAGAAGACGACTGAGAAGATCTGCTCCACCTGATGAAACTCCTGATGTAATGGATAGTAGGTCCAGGTTACTGACAAGTATGACTGTGAACAAATCGTGCCGCGAATTGGTTAAATTAACAGGTAAGACTCACTGCTAACATAAATCTGATCGCCATTTGAATTTAGATTCGAAAAATCAATTGAATTCAATAGTTAACAAGGAAAATTTGAGACCACCTGAACCACCTATTACGATATGGCTACCAAAGGAGAACAGACCTCGAAATCATGACATCCTATTTTTAGTTACTTATTCCTAGAAAGCATACGAATATGCAATAGTAGACTTGCATAAATAAATTTACAGTTAATACTGTACGTCAGCAATTGGATAATACTTTTGCGCTAAAAGAATAATGATCTCTGTCGTAAACTCCAACGTAAAGCTAAAATGCTAACAGCTTAACTTTGTTTTTTTCTACCAAGTTTCATCAACACTTTCTGTCATTATGAATCTATGAATTCATATTGTAACTTATGACCTTGTCCGTGTTGTGTTGTGCTGTAATTCCACTAGAGCGTTTGTTGGCGGTACGTACAATTTCTGTTCATTCCATCATCTAACGTTGGGCCCTCGCCCTTGGCCCGATCAGGCCCCAGCCCAGCCCAGCCGGCCTGCTTCGTATTACGAAACAGCCTCCACAAAAAACACATCTCAAATTCAATTACTTCCCAATGCAAGTCAACCGACTAGTACCGCTGTCATACGTCACATCTGCGCAAAACGAGCCCCCCGTTCAAAGCGAATTAGGTTCTGGATCGACGCACCGGGTTTAACATGAATGTCTGATATGGCACGACACCGTAACCGAGTGACACATTCGATGAACACACGGACACAACTAAACTGGTTGTTCGACCAGAAATAGGTAAACCTTTTTTTTTTTTTTAGCAAACTCGAATTGATGGAACACTCCCGGCCATTTCAATCTGCTATACAATACGGCCACAATAGACTCTGCCAGCTGTGCAGGTTTCTGCTGTAAATGGCGAAACTGCTAAGATTAGGATAGGAAGCGGGCAGCCTTTAGCAAGCAGAAGAACCGATCGCTCTAAATATTCTACTACAGCAGAACTAGTCTAAGCGAATAAGGCTGCCGTAAGTTTGAATTACGAAAGTTGCAAGGATACTATATTAGCCGTCTTGTTAATACGCGCACGTCTAGCGCTGCGTACCACATAATAGCTAATATCAAGTATGTTGTATCATTGTATGCCAGCGTCTCGGAAAGCGGCAGGAAAAGTAATATACGGAGCATCTCTCGAATCAATAAAACGACGGCACGTTCGAATGGTCTAATGCGACGGCCAATCTTCGTACCTCTCCTTTTTGATGAAATCTGGGGTGAGTCATGTCGCCACGGCGTTTCATCATATATATATATATAGTTACTACCGAATAAGCATTAATGGAAGCCCAAGTTATTGTTAATACAAGTAAGTAACGGCACCCGGTATATTAATGTCGTGTCTGACATGGCGCAGCGCTGTTTTTTTTCTCTGTTGGTATCAGTGTGCATCTTAATGACAAGCTTGATAAATCCAGCAGAAATAGGCGGATGCGTTTAACATTTGTCTGATGTCCGCAGCTGATGCTGACTATTTAAGCTTCGCCTTTCAGGAGCTTTTCGCTAGAAGTCAACGACGTCCTCTCACGAACGGATTTACAATATATGAACTCACGAATGATCTCACATCTCATGCTAACTATTCCAGAACATCATCTAAATTAAGTTTTGTGTCGAGCACCCTCGTTAAGCATTACAGTCAACTAAGCTCGAGTACAACAAGGCGTATCCACACGTTACTTGCTATCTAAACCATCTCATATGGTTTTTAATTGTTTGGAAAGGACATTGTCACTCAGCTGTATATTGACCGCATAGATATATTACTATTTCTAGATTCACGTCCGACCGTCACTAGCTATCGCTTCATACTAAACAGGGCCTCGTCTAGGCTCTAATTTTGACGATGTTTACAATAATTTTTGAGGAGATTTCTTTGCAGCGTTGGTATTTCTGCAAATGTTGAACGAATTGAATAGGCTGAGTTTTGTCGTGCACCTTCGCCACCCCCTTAACCCACTTTGGCACGTCTATCAAGATAAGGGTTTATGGCCACGACCATGCCTCCCCGCAGTGATCGAACGTGCACGGAGCATCGTAGAATGTTGCTGACAGACGATAGCCTGGGTCTTCCTCAACTAATTACGTCTGATTAGCTGAGTGTTCTCAGAGACAACTAGTCGTTCAATTTTGACCTTCTCGGTCCTACCTCTTCACTTCTCTTGGTTGTGGGTTTGTCTGGAGACTGGAGCGGATGGCTTGCTTACTGGGAAGCTAGGACACCCAATCAGAGTTACGTCGGGACTCGCGGTAGGTGGGGCGTATTGGCACACGGATCGGCTCTTTTACTTACAGGCACAGCCTTCTCATGAGACAGCCACAGGCGCAGCAGGACGGGACTCAGACCTGGCCAGCCAATACTCAGTTATTTTGTGGCGCCTCTTCCCAGTGAGGTTCTGTTCTGGTCGATCCCTTGGTTTTTTTCTCAAACTTAGCTAACTGTGCTCACCACCGCTGCTTCTGCTACTATACCGTCTTCACCGCTGTACCGACCATTTCCGACTATGTTTCCGCGCAGTCGCTCACTTAACCAATGTCTCTGCTGCTTCGAAGTGTGGCAAACCACCCGGAGTTGGGTGCTTCGGACAATCTTCGAAGAGCAGCTACTCTGTTGGCTCTACTACCTTTGAAGCCGTTACCCAAGGTAGGAACAGTTGTAATACAGAATGTGATTGACAATCTGAGCAGAGCGGAACACCGTGCAGCGACGAGGCTCCAGAGGGGTCGGGGCGGGTCTCATTAGAGGGTAGGACTTTTTGAGCCTGCACGAGGCGATTTAATTAGATCGTCTTTGCTCGCCCTATTCTCCTCTTCTTACCACGAGCAGCGAAGGTTTCCTAGAGACACCTATGAGTTAAAGATTCTTGTTTTTGGGGTAAAGTCGAACCAAGAGATAACACTCCGGATCGATCCGGAGTCCCCGGATCGATCAGATTTTTGTTGTTTGACACCGCAACAAGCAAAAGAACCTAAGGGAGATGATGTTGCATTAAACGGATGCTGGTGTATGATACTACCATTCAGCGTACCTATAAGTTAGAAGCTTGTATTGCGATGGAAAACGTTAGGCCAAAAAAAGCTCTCGTCGTTTCCCCACTTGGATTAGAATTCAATTCGCTTCCTGTTTTCTTCACCAAGACATTGTTGCATTTCGGACGATTGCCAAACTTACCATTCTGATTTGGCCTAACATAGCCCCTTGTATTCTTTTCCCCGTTTGCTACCAGGTCGAGGGAGGAACTACATAAAACGGAGAGAATTGTTCTGAGTGTTATTCTTCCAAGACGTTCAAGCACAACCTGTGCTCGACCGATCCGTAGCAATTTTCTTCACAGCTTTCATCTACTGATAGAACCCATGCCGCGTCGCTCATCTACCGTGCTACGTCTCTATGTATGTTGTGCTTGTTCACTCTGGTGATTCTTTTTCAACAAAAGAATCTTGTTCCTGAAAGCTTTTGATTATAAACTGCGGAATTTCATATAGGTGTGTTCTTGTGTTCCTGTCGTGCAAAATAGCGCCCGATTTCGAAAATTGGTTGTTTCAAATCTATGGGAAGACTGCAACGGTATAGCACATACTCATCTGAATAATATAATCGTTCTCATTATTGCTAGTATTCTGTTTAGCTGCAGTAAGTCGCTGGTTGCGAGCCGATGCGAGCCTTTACATGAAATCAGATGTGCCAAAAGATGTCAAAGGCGCCAAAAGCCACCGCTGACTTTCGAGTTAAGCTCGAGTGTTCCAAAGGAAAGCCACACATAACGCCCCTGTGGATTCACTAGTAAATATTGGCAGAATAGCGAGTTACTTGGGTAGTACGTAACTGTGTTACGTACACATGTGCCTGGATACCGCCCCTTAACAATGGAGCACGGTGGCAACATAATACGAAACCACGAAACGCGAAAGCGAAAAGTGTACGCTCATCTCCAATACAAAACCACATACTCATACCCGTTTAACTAGACCGATTCAGCGTTCGGGTTTAGCACATGTTTTAGGCTAACAAAAAATCCAGCAAGGAGATCGTCTGAAGTTGCAGTGACGTCACGTTTTAGGCGTTTTTCCCGAATAAAGAATATCACTGACACAGCAATAAAAAAGCCCGTGACGGCACAGTATAATAATGAAAAAATATGTTTTACACCAATATATTTACAATAATAGAATAAATCTATATAGCATATATATATCTTGGTCTGCAATGTTGAAGGAATGAAGTAAATTGTGCCGAAATTTTCCTGTTGACGTGTTCCCGATCGGTGCCCACCAAACACAGTGCGTTCTGTGTGCACGCATAGGACACGACGTGATTTAGCCATTTCCTTTCGTAGTTACAATGCTCTGACAGCTGTACGTCCCAGCGATATTTGGTGCTCCGGTCGTGCGCACCCATCTCGAACATAATTCAGAGTTGCTGAGGGAAACAATCGCTTCATTGTCTGTTCGGTCATTTGCTAATCGCTGCCCCATTCTCCGCACACTTGTTGAGTTGAAACCCAAGCCCAAACCCGCCAGAGACTCCCTGTGTACGACCTGTCCTTCTGCGAAATCTCCTTAACTGAAGCACCAACATTGAGATAATGGCTGCTCATCGCGTTATCGCTGAACGTTTCGAAACAGCAAATCTCCCCATGAGAACAGCTCTCGAAGACAAATTAACCATTTATATGTTTGAACTATAGAGCGCTTCGACTTCGGACTTGCATAGATACTGTCGCATAAATATCAAATACAGACACACGAATATGTGATGATTTAGCAGTCCTGAATTTCCCATTGTATTTCTATACTATTGTTGTAGAAGTTTATTTTGAGATTCGATTTTGCGTTGGAAAAATGATGTTTGGAATTTGTTTGACGGTATGTAACGGTCATTGGCTAAAATATCAATGTATATAGAAAAACTGGTTAGTAAACAACTCACATGTGGCTAGACGCGTCAAATATTATTTGCTTTTTTTTTTAATAACACTTCAAATGTATGTAGGATATAAGGAGAGATAAATGTATTCCTCCACACGTCTCCACCATTTCATCTTCTAGAAATTACAAATAGCTGACCGAAATCTCGACTTTACTGGATAGTTTTAGCTAATTTCGAAATCCCCTCCACTAAGTTCAGATAAGCAAAGCACCACGCTGGTTCGAATTATAGCGTTAGTAGAAGTCGTCACCAAAAATTAATAATCAGGCAAATGAGAAATTATTATTAAGGTGGCTTATACATTTGTCGTCTGTTGAAGAAGATAAATCTATAATCAGATTAAAGTTTTAGTGTGCTATACCTAAAAGGGATAATTTCGAAAATCTGTTCACGTAGAACAAATAATCAAATGCGCTAAATCAATGAACAAGCCAGCAGATTTTTAACGAAGAATGACAACTTTAAAAATAATAATGCTCATTTGCGACTTATAGAGGTCATCATTTTTACAGTTGCGGTAGTTCATTTGTTGACAATTGCAAAACCATCTCCAGGATCAGGTGTACTGCAGACGCTAGCTTGCTAAGTGATACGCGAAAAGCGCGCGCACTTTTGTAATTCTTTCAGTTGAAACAACGTCCATGTGTTAGGAAGGGGTTCAATGATTTTTTTTATAATTAAGTAGCACACATTTATTACATTATTACCTATGTATATGCTACTTTCCTATTTTGCAGAACAATGTTTTACCACTATATAAACATAAAATCTATATGTGAACGTTTTAACATAAATCCCATGAAAGACGAAGCCAATAAATACACGACTAACTCCACATTGACAGTATTAATGCATCAATAAGCTAAGCTAG